GTGGAGACCAGAGCACCTGAGGGCTCCGACGTGGAGGCCGGGGCCAGGCACCTGGGGGCTTCTGGGAGGTCTAGGCCACAGCACCTGAGAGCTCCGACAGAGGGCAGAGGCTGGGTACCTGGTGGTCCTAGGAGGAAGAGACCAGAGCGCTTGGAGGTTCCTAGGGGATGGAGGCCAGAACACATGGGGACTCCAACGGAGGGCAGGGGCTGGGCACCTAGGCTTCTGCTCCCAGAAGGGGGGCTTCTTGGAGGTGGAGGCCAGAGCACCTAAGGGATCCGACAGAGGGCTGGGTCTGGCACCTGGGGGTCCTGGGAGGAAGAGGCCAGGGCATCTGTGGGTTCCTGACACTTGATCAGAGGGGTGGGTAGTGGACAAATATGAGTTGCCAGGTCTGGGGCCAGCTCCTAGGGCGTCTCTGAGAAGAGCTGGGAGCATATATTAATCATACTAGGGCTGCTGCAAGTGGAGGGCTCAAGTGACACAAGGGGCCCCTGGACCTAGCAGGTCCCAGGGGTCAGAAACTCCAGCTGGTGGAACTGGGTACTGGGAAAGCATGGCTCTCCCTTTACTGTGTTCCAGGGAATTGGGGGAAGCCCTTGGAACCTCTTGGTTCACTTTGTTCCTGAGTGGCAGCCTCAGTTTCCCTTTCCAGGAACGCTGCTAAGCCATCTCTCAGTGGCTTCCCACTCTTTTCCATTCCTAAGGAATCCCACCACAGACCCTCTCTTTCCCTCTTTTGGCTCTCTGTGGAGTTAGGGCACCCCCCCCAACATACACTCCTTTTTTTTTTGTCTCCAGGGTTCTCCCCCCCACACACCTTGTACAACTTTTACAACTTTCAGCATCTGGCTGGAGGTATAATGATGACACATGGGGCTAAGGTGACACCTTCTAAGGATCACAAGGAGAGTGGAACCTGCAGAGTGCAAAGGGCTGTCCTGTCACCCCACCCTTCCTGGGACAGTTCTATCTGGTCCCCACTGTCACCCAAAGGGAACAGCTGTTAATGAGTATGCTTATGAGCTCTAATGTGATGGCATAGAAAGTTTCTGAATTTTACAAAATTTAAGTGTTTTATATCTTTTTTTTTTTTTTTTTGGTACCAGGGATTGAACCCAGAGTATATCCCCAGCCCTTTTTTGGGGGGAGGGGTTTGGATACCAGAGGTTAAATTGAGGGGCACTCGACCACTGAACCACATCCCCAGGCCTATTTTGTATTTTATTTAGAGACAAGATCTTGCTGAATTGCTTAGAGCTTGCTTCTGCTGAGGCTGGCTTTGAAATTGGGATTCTCCTGCCTCAGCCTCCTGACCTGCTGGGATTATAGGCATGGCCATGGCACCCAGTCCTTTTTATATTTTATTATGAATCAAGGTCTCACCAGGTTGCTGAGGGTCTTGCTAAGTTGCTGAGACTGCCTTGAATTCACAATCCTACTGTCTCAGTTTCCCAAATCTCTGGGATTACAGGCGGGCGCCACTGTGCCCAGTACATTTTAAATCTTCATTGTGGAAGGGAGATTTATTTTGATAAGAGAAATGAGGAAGGAAGTAGTTTATTGGGGGCGGTGTCTATTTGATGTATGAGAATGAGAGGAGAAAGGCTCCAGGAACTTTCCAGTGCCCATTTCTTACTTTTCAAATTCAGATTGATCTATTTGTAATCATGGTCACTGCATTATTAGACAAGACCTAATCTGCAGTTAGCAAAGTGGAAAATATTTTTATCTCCTTTATCTCAGAACATATCAAGATGTATTCTCTTTGATTCAATTCATCAAAGGGAAAGGATGAAGTCTGTCATTATACCAAGAGATAATTTTGAGGGATTTGTATAGGCTTATAAATTATCTAGACTCTATTATTCTAGCTCTGTTACCTAGGACAGGTTACTTGACCACTTTGTGCCTTATTTCCCTCATCTGAAAATGAGGATATGAATTGAATCTAATTCAAGGACTGTTTTAAGTATTAGATGAGATGGGACATTTGGAGCAATACATGCATGACTAGTATCCCATAAATGTCAGCTATTTTAAATTTTTTATCATGAAGAACATACCATTGGAAATTTTTATATGTTCTATAACAAAATTTTTAAACAATTTGCAAAAATATATTCTGGTAATGTTTCACAGTAGTTTATTTTATTTCTTGATTTTGAAACCATTACCTGAACAAAAATGAAAAACAGTTTTAATGATGTGGAAGAGTCAGACAACAATAAGCATTTTTAAAATGGAGTTTTATAAAAGTTCTAAGATTAATGAAAGGCAGTTACACAACTTGGTTTACTTTTAGGATATGGAATCCAATATTTTCCCCTTGTATATGATAGAGATCTACTTTGCACCAGCATGGTTGTGCATGCCTGTAGTCCTTGTCACTCGGGAGCTTGAAGCAAGAAGATCTCTTGAGCCTGGGAGTTTAAGGCCAGCCTGGCAACAGAGTGAGAGGCCAGCTTAAAAAAAAAGATTAGCTGGATGCAGTGGTCCATGCTATAATCCCAGCGACTCCTGAGACTGAGCCAGGAGGATCACAAGTTCTCAGCGATTTGGCAAAACCCTTGGTAACTTAGCAAGACCCTTCTCAAAATAAAAAATAAAAAGAACTGGGGGTGTAGCTCAGTGGTAAAGTGCCCCTGCGTCCAATCTCCAGGACCAAAAACCAAACAAATAAAAAAATCACAGTGCAGTCCCTTCTCTGGGAGCGCTGGGTTCTGTTCACAGAGGAGATGGAGGCAGCACTGAGTGCTAGACCTGTTTCTCTAGCTGCCTTCGGACCTCCACAGGACCCAGCCCTCACCCACACACTGTTGCCCCGTGTTTGTCCATTTAATAGTAGCCACTCTGTGCCAGGCTTGGTGCTAAGCTCAGGAGAACAAGATGGACAGGGCCCCGCCCCCTGCAGCTGCAGTTTAGTGATTCCTCAGGTCTGGGTGAGGGGTGGGAGGCGGATGCCACAAATCTGGGAACCCACTCCCATCTTCTTATAGCCATCCTTGTCACCATTCAAAAGTAACTCTCAAACTCTCCTGCTTAGAGCTACACACACCAAACCTCTGCTGTCCCCTCCTTCCACAGGGAATGTCCTAAGCAGGCTTTTGCCACTCACTGTTCTGGAGATCCCAGATGCCTCCTGGACCCTGTCGAGAAACCTCCTGCACTCCAGCTCTGCTTGCTAAGACAGTCATATAACTCATTGTCTTGCCCGCTGGACCCTGGCTCCATGTGGGCAGACACATCCTGAATCATCTTTGTGGGTCCACTTTGTGTGTGCCGGGGATAGTACTGGATAGCAAATGACAGCATGCATCAGTTGACAGCAATGTGGTGTCACAGCCAGCCTCTGGAAGCAGCGCACTTTCAACAGTCAGTCACGCTGTTTGGTGCCCCACAGGAGAGGCTCTCTCTTGAATGGCTGTTACTTCAGGGCAGTTTAATGTCATGTCTCTCTCTCTCACTACACAGTGAGCTTTTCAAGACCAGCATGGGGCCTTGCAGGAAATAGAACTGAGTATTTATTGGTGGAATCTGTGATGCTATCAACTCCTATGTGCCTCGCACCTATCATGTTGCTGTTGCTGTGTGTCAGATTACCCCCAATGAACATTTGAACATATGTTCTCTCGCACAGGGTCTGATGGCCAGGAGTGGGGACAGCTTAGCTGGCTGGTTCAGTCCTCTGAGCATCTCTTCAAGTGGTGTGGGCAGGTCTCTACTCCCCCCGGCTGTTGAACCAGCCTTCACCCCAGTTGCTTGGCACCTGAGCCTCTCTACCAGGCTATCTGAGTGTCCTTGAGATAGGGCTGCTTTACCCAGAGCTAGTGATCCACCCATGGTGGAAGAGAAGGACCTTGAAAGCAACATGCCATCATTTCTGCCATCTTCTGTGTGTCACACAGATCAATTTGGTAAAGTGAGAGTGGAGATTACATGAGGGTGGGGATCACTGGGACCATCTGGCTACCCCTGGCTGAGTAGAGAAGGAACACATGGAGGACCTCCCATGTGAGATACAGCCCCTGCCCAGTGACGGTAAGAGCTGAGCATGTCCAGCAGTCCACATTCCTGGGCAGGACTCCTTTACATGATTACAGGGTCCTTGTTGAGGCTTCCTGGATAAGTAATAATTGAGATGGCCTACAAGCCTCGTTCTCCACTACGTTCAATGCAGAGTGTTACACGTATATAATAATGTAGTTTGATCTGTTTGTTCATCTAACTATAATAATAGCATAATTAATATACTTAGATCTAATATAAAAGGAGTGGAAATTTGAGAGTTTTAAACACCTAAATGAAACATTCTCTAATAACTGAAGTTTAGATTGTGAAGGTAACACAACTTTCAGGCCAGTCCCGCGCTATACCCTGCTGGTGACTCATCTGGTTAATACAAATTAATTAATAAATGAATTTAACATTTTTATTTCAGGTGTGCTTTGATTGTGGTGCCAAAAACCCCAGCTGGGCAAGCATAACCTATGGGGTGTTTCTCTGCATTGACTGCTCAGGGTCACACCGGTCACTTGGTGTTCACCTGAGTTTCATTCGGTAAGTGACTGTTCCCTTGCTGGGCGGCAGAGATTCCGTTGTTATGTGGGGTCATTCCCCTTTTTTCATTATGTTTGCTCTGACATGGCAGGGTGGTTGTGAGATATAGAGATTGAGTCTTATGTCCCTCAGTAACCTGGTAACTCAGGTATCATCTACAGTGGAGATTTTGTCAGAGACACGAGGCTGTGACTGTGACAACCAAGTCAGAATGGAGGCTGTGACGCAACATTTCCTTCCGTCCCTTTATTAGTGGGAGGTGCACACTCTTGGGAGAGGGCTTCAGTGCTGTGGGTCCCTCCTACACACCAAGGAGGTTGTTCAGGTAAGGTGGGAGCCCCCTTATATCAGGGTGCCACTTCCCACGTCCCCTTCTGGCTTTGACTCCCAAGGACACTGATAGCCCGGAGTCCGAGTAAGTGATTTTCATTTGACTTTAGTAACGATTTCAAATATTTATAACATGAGCCTCTCTGCTCTCTCCCTGAGGACGTGGGCCACGCTGCGGCCTCTGCCAGTCGTCTTCCACTTCTGACAGTATGGCTGGAGCCACTGTGGGACCTCTGTGGGCACCAAAGAGAGGCGCCCCCTCTCCACAGAGAGCCCACAGTGGGAAGTGAGAAGGGCCACCCTATGAAGCAAAATAAATTGAAATAAAAAGTGGAAAAGTGCCTCTGTTCAGGCTTAAGGCCTGGAGCTGAGCAAGGTCTGCACGTCAGTGGCCACGGCCTTTGCCAGGCCCCTCTGCAGGGTCCATGGAGCAGCCACGGCTCAGGTCTCTGGAGGATTCACCTCCTCCAACTAGCTCACCCACTTCCCTGTCACCTCTTTTTCCAAGGAAAGAACCTGCTGGCCAGGCTACTTGGAATCATGGCAGTTTTATTCTCTACTATGACTTAAAGAGTATTGATACGATGTGATTGCTGCAACAGAGCGAGTTTTCCTGTGGGATTAAAATCTGTGGTAACTCCTAACGACATTTTGTGTGATGGCACAAAAACCTAGGAATAATCACAGCATAGCATTCTTTTTTCATATATTAAAATACCTTACTAGTTCATGGAGTTATTTTAGAAACCAGCTTGTAAAGGCACTGTCAGTTAAATATATAGCTATATAATTCTGGATAATTATTTATAAAGGCAGTTATTGTGTATTCTTGTGGTTTCTATCATTTTCTTCTTTTTTTCCCCCTTTTTTCTTACACTTTGGTTACGAAATATTTTGAATATACTATCCTGTTCTTGTCTCTTTTGTAAATATTGAGGGATTTAGTTGCTATGGCAAGTTTATTTATGTATTACAGGTTTTTTTTATTATAGTAAAATACACATAACAGGCAACTTATCACCATTTTTAAGTGTACGGTTATGAGTTATTTAATACGTTCATGAGCCGGCTGTGGTAGCTCACATCTGTAGTCCCGGCTACTCAGGAAGCTGAAGTGGGAGGATCACTTGAGCCTATGAGTTCAAGACCACCCTGGACAATACAGTGTGACCCCATCTCTCAATCAATAGGTAAGTCAGTGAGTAAATGCCTAGATATGTACACACATTTATGATGTGCCACCACCACTGCCAGCCGTCTCCCTCACTCTCCGTCTTGTAAAGATAACTCTATACCCATTAAACAATAGCTCCCTGTTTCCGTCCCCCCTAGTCCCTGGCATTCACCATTCTACTTTCTGCCTCTATGATTTTGACTCCTGTAAGTGCCTCATATGAGTGGAGTCAGAAGTATTTGTCTTTTTGTCACTGTGACTTTTTTGTCACTCAGTATAATCTATATTGGAGTAAAGGTCAGAATTTCCTTACTTTTTAAGGCTGAATAATATTCCATTGTAGGTATGTACTGAAACCAGAGTTCCAGATGAAACCAGTGTTCTGCTTCTGTCCATGGGTGGAGGCTGCTTGAGTGGCAGGCCTGTGCAGCCCAGGAGCCTTTGTTAGTGTTAGCACCTGTTAAAGTAGAGAATGTCTGCAGCATCAGCTCCAAGCATTGCAACTGGCAAAGCTGGATTCTCCTCCACTGCCACCAAGCAGCATGTCATAGTGCTAATGGCGGGCCATGCCCCCAGTGTTAACAGCCAGCCTCAGCCACCTGCCTGTCTCCTCTTCCCTGGTTCTTGTCTTGTGAATTTGAAGAATGAAATCCATGGATGAGGAAGGGTGAGCCTAAAAGAATAGGATTCATTCAAGTGAGAAGCAAAGAGACCGAGCTCCAGCAAGAGCAGGCCCGCAGGGTTGCCACTTAAACGTGCTAGTCTAGGGGTGCTGAGCGATAGCTGTGCTGATCAGGTCTTGGTACACTACCCAGGCTATTGGTCAAAATCTGTGCTAAACAGGTATTGGAAAAGGTTAAGCCTGCGGGTTAGCCCTCGGGTCTGTGGCCTTCACTCAGGTCTGCCCCGCTGTCTTGTCTCCCTTTTCCAGCTGGACAAAGGAATTGATGGGAAGGCTTGGAAGGTTAATTTCATGGAGTGGCCTTTACATTAAAGAAGCCTTATTCGGGGGCTGTTCCCTACCCTGCCTTATTCAGGACTGCAGTGTACTTGTCCATCGAGCATGGATAGACCTTGGGCTGCTTCCACATCTCAGCTACTGTGAACAGTGCTGCCGTGAACAGCATATGCAGATATCTCTTTGATGATATATGTTTATTGTTTAAAAGGAAAAAAAGTCTCTATAAGAATCTGTTTTGAGGGGCTGGGGATGTGGCTCAAGCAGTAGCACGCTCACCTGGCATGCGTGCGGCCCGGGTTCGATCCTCAACACCACATACAAACAAAAATGTTGTGTCCACCGAAAACTAAAAAATAAATATTAAAAAAAAATTCTCTCTCTTTCTCTTTAAAAAAAAAAAAAGAATCTATTTTGAATTCCTTTGTGCACATACACAGAAGTGGCATTGCTGGATCTGATGGTAATTCCACTTCTAATATCTTGAGAAGCCGTCATACTGCTTTTCACAGTGACTGTTCTGCTTTCTCTTCCCATCAGTAATGTACAAGGGTTCCAGTTTTTCTGCATGCTCTCCCTCAATGTCATTCTTTTTCTTCTTTTTTCCCCATCTCTGGAGATGGGACCCATGGCTTCATGCATACTATGCAAGCATTCTACACTGAGCCACTCTCCACTGACTTACTTTTTATAGTAGCCATCCTAATGGATATGAGATCGTGTCTCGTTGTAGTTCAATTTGCAGTTTCCTAGTGATGTTGACATCTTTTCATGTACTTATTGGCTGTCTGTCTATCTTCTTTGAAGCATGTTTACCCAAGTTATCCGACTTTTTTTTTTTTTTTTTTTTTTGGTACTGGGGACTGAACCCAGGGATGCTTTACCACTGAGCTACATCCCAGTCCTTTTTATCTATTATTTTGAGACAGGGTCTTGCTAAGTTACTGAGGATCTTGGTAAATTACTGAGGGTTGCCTTGAACTTGAAATCATCTTGCCTCAGCATCCTGAGTCACTGGGATTACAGTGGTGCACCACCATACTCCACTCTTTGCCCATTTTAAAATCAGGTTATTTTGGCTTTTTGTTGTTGAATTTTAGGAGTTCTGTATGTTTGGAGGATATTAATTCCTTATCACACATAAGATTCCCAGGTGTTTTCTCCTTTTTTTTTTATTCTGTTGATAAGTCTTCTGATAAAATTTTTAAGTTTCCATGAAGTTTGGTTTGTCTGTTTTCTTTTTTGCTTGCGCCTTTGGTGCCATATCTGAGAAACCACTGCCAAATCCAATGTCATGATGCTCTCCCTCTTTTCGTATTTTCATAGGTCCTACATTTATGTCTTTAATCCATGATGAGTTAATTTCTTGTTTATGGTGTGAGGTAAGAGTACAACTTCATTCTTTTGCACATGATATTTAGTTTTGCCAGCATTGGTTGTTAAAAAGACATTGCCCATGTAACCAGATTTTTATTTATTTATTTAGTTAGTTAGTTGCAGGGGCTTGAACCCAGGACCTTGCTCATGCAAAGCATGCACTTTGTAACTGAGCTACTCCTCCAGTCTAGATTTATTTTGATGTACTTTTCCCCAGATTGATAACAGTTAACATATGGTAACAGTGTGCCCAGAGCACGTGAGGACTGGGCTTGAGACCAGAGGTAACTAGTACACTCCCTTTCTCTGCTGATGGTGTTCTTTCCCTCTTTCTCCCTGCCACTCCCTCGCATTATAATCTGGCCCCCCTCTTCCTCACCTCTAAAGCATACTGCCAGAGTACGCTGGTCCAGGAAGGCAGGCAGTTTTCTGGTATGTTCCTTGTTGAGGGAAGGACTGGGCTGGATCTGGAGGAGACTGGATGGCAGGATCTGTTTGGGCTGGTGCAGGCTTCACCACTAGTCTTAAAGGTCAGATAAATACGTGTGTATGAATCATATTGCTTATGAACGATTCAAAAACAGCAATTAAAAATCAGTGCATAAGCAGAGGGCAATAGTGTAGGATGTGGACAAGAGAAGTCAAAGGTGAAAAGGTACTCAGCATGGGTTTGGGTTTTATTTGGGGGATGGCTATTCTTTAAATATTTTTATTGATAAAAAAAAAAACATTATATACACTGGTTCATTGGAAAAAAGTCCCAAGCATCCCCGAAGTATAAAGTAAGATGCAAGAGTCTCTCTTCTAGGATCCCCTCTCCCTTCTTCCTGCCCTGCCAGCCACACACACATTTCCCAGGCGTGGCCACTGTTCGCAGTGTGTCATGGGAGGAGTGTTAAGTGGAGTTTGTTATTTTGTAAGTAGAATATCAAGTCAACATTTTACAAAGGAAAAGTATAAACTATGGCTTTTGCCGGCAAACCAGGTGAAGGCAGGTTAGAGCGTACAGAAATGGCAAGCTGGGCCCAACTGAAGTGGCCCTGTCCCGCCACCTCTGAGGGCTGGAACTCTTCACCTGTGTTTCTGGAATGCCCAAGTGTCAGGCTGCTCCGCTCCCTCGAGCTGTTTCTTCTCAGGTTTGCCTTTAAGTATTTCCTGAGCTTATGAAATGGGAGCCCCACACGATTCTGTGGGGAGGGGGCAGGGGCCGGGGTGAATACGAGGATGTCAGAAGGCAGACTGCAGAGATCTCCATGAGAACTGGAAACCAGCCCAGCTACCAGTCAGCCAGGTGCCTGCTCAGGGGACACTGGAGGCCGCCCTCATTGTGTTAGTATAGAAGGGGACACTTTCTTGACCCTGTATGGAACAGTTTCACACAAACAACCAGGTGCCCAGAAGCCATTCCTGAGCCTGTCTGTGAGTACACGTCTAGGTTAATTGTGTACTTTATTCCCTTTTAAGTTTTGATTATATGAAAACTGTTCTGTTGACTTTGCAAGATCATTCTGATTTCATAAGCTTCTGAAATCTGTTTAAATCCTCTACTTAGAAAAAGTGCTGACTTTGGCAGCCTCAAGGGAAGCTGGTTTTTACAGTTTTTAAGGTTGTATTTTGACTCAGGATTGTCGGAATTGGGGACCCTGTGTCCTTGCTTACCTGGTTGGTAATGGGAGCCGTTGGGATACACACTTCTGTAGCCTTTCTTGCCTTCCTCTTTACTTTGTTCTTACACTCTCTGCTTTCACTTATCTCCTAATCTAAATTGAAGATAAGAAATTACCTGCAGGGAGTCCTGGCCCCATGTGGGAGGAGGCGCTGTGAGCTCACTTTCTTCCTAAGGCTCCTGTGGACATGTTCAGAGCCATCGTCACCAGAGACTTGGAGCTAGAAGTCCAGTGTTCTGACAGAAAATCCTGGCAGCTCAGTTTAAGAACAATGCATTCTTAGGTTTTTTTGTTGTTGTTGTTTTTTTAACAGTTGTAGTTGGACACAATACCTTTATTTTATTTATTTATTTATTATTATGTGGTGCTGAGGATCGAACCCACCACCTCACATGTGCCAGGGGAGCGCTCTACTGCTGAGCTACAACCCCAGCCCCTCATCCTTAGTTTTTATAGAACTGTATTTCTAAGAAATACATAGAGAGTTCTTGGGCTTCGTTTTTGTAAAGAGAACTTAGGACTAAAGTCACAGAGTCAGAGCAAGGCAGAGTAGGCAGGGCCTCACCTGAGGACACACGTTAAGGCAGCCCATATTCAGCTACCTGTGATGGACGCCTCTGGCCTAGGAGCACCAGGGGAAGCTTGGGCCTGCCCTGTCTGGAATAGGGTGTCCAGGCCACCAATGGCAATGACGTTGATGGGACTTCCAGCCACAAGCTATTTATCAGGGCCAGGTCCACATACTCTCAGATATTAGCTTACTTCACTTCTGCACCAACAGGATGAATAACACTGTCATCATTCCTACTTTGTAGATGGGAAAATAAGGCACAGAGAGGTGAACGCTTCTCCAAGGTCACATGGCCAGTAAGAGGCAGAGTTGAGGTTGGCACTCTCAGTCTCTCCAGAGGCTGTACTGTCAGCCGCTTCCCTGTGACACGGAGCGAGGTGGGGAGGTCACAGAGGGAGAGGATGTTCCTGAAAAGGTGCCTAAGCAAGACCTTTCCGAGAGGGGTTCAGAAGAGCTAATTGCTTACTCAGTGGAAGGTGCATCGCCTGATCCTCTTCCTTTACCAAGTGAGACTTTCTGAACAGAGGGGAATTTTGCTTGTTTTATTTTTATTTTAGAAGCCTATCTCTTACAAAGTGTGGTTTGATCTCTACGTTTTATACATGACCATGGAGTGCACTTGTCATTGTGTATTTGTATCTTGAAGCTTAACACTTACACAGTTAAATGACACCAGCAGACATAGGCATTAGCCAGGGGAGGGTAGCCCAGAAGGAGATTCTGGTGTATCTGGGCTTGCTTGTCCCCTCCCCTGCTGTCAGTGTGTGCAGCGTGCTCCGCCTCCTCCCATCTGTGATGGGGATGACAGGCCTGCCTTGCTCTTGCTCACGTCTATGGACCTGGTACCTGGCCAGATGGATTACCATTAATCCTTTGGTGACACTGCGTCGTCAGTACTCTGCACACTACTTCCTTTGCCCTCTCTGAGCTGATGTTCCGCTGGAGATGAGAACGTCAAGCATGGTGGGAGGAGGGGGGCATACAGCTTGCACTTCAGGAGCCTGGCAACCTGCCTTTCCCCGCTTCCTGTGGGTGGTAATGTCATCCACCTGATGATCACAGTATGCGCATCCTGCAGGCTTCTTCGAAGGTCACAATTTGCAAGTAGATAGCTGACCTGAAGACATCCAAATGGCACATTTATTTTGGGTAGAGATGTGTTACAAAATTTTAGCTTATAACTCCCTAAAGATGAGAGGCAAGCAGTTGGAGTAATTGCAGCAGCCCCAGGACCCTGACACATCCCTGTGCCCTACAGGAGATGACCTACAGGAGTCAGTGCCATTGGCCTGCCCATGGGCAGTGCAAAGGACAGCAGTCCACAGGGTCAGGGAGGCCTTGGCTTCAGGGGCTGCTTAACTGTCCTGGCCAGAAGCCCTGATATCCTGAAAGTATGTATCCCTGTTAACACAGACTTCTGCAGGATCCTAAAGCCCAAGGAAACCTTGTTTTCAAAAGTGATTTACCATTTGTGGTGGGGCACACCTGTAATCCCAGTGGCTCAGGAGGCTGAGGCAAGAGGATTGCAAGTTTGAGGCTATCCTCAGCAACTCAGGGAGGCCCCAAGCAACTTAGTGAGACCCTGTCTCAAAATAAAAAATAAAAAAGGGCTGGGGATGTGGCTAGGTACGACTGTTTTCGATACCCCCCTCCCAAAAAAAAAAAAAAAAAAAGCTTAGTGATTTGATTCTAGCAATGAGAAGTATTAACGTTTAGGAATATTTTTTGTTTAGATCTACAGAGTTGGATTCTAATTGGTCATGGTTTCAGCTGCGATGCATGCAAGTTGGAGGAAATGCCAATGCCGTGAGTTCATTTCAGTCCTTTTCCTTGTTGCTTAAATTCCCTGGTAAAGAAGTTCAGCTCCTGTGTGCTTGGGAGGCCATATGGGCTAAGAGACAGACCTGGTGGGCTTATTTATGCAAAAAATGTATTGAACATCTGATTTAAGCAGAAAGCTGTTGGACAGGGAGCTGCGTATGCTTGACAGACAAGACCCCCTCTCATGAGTAGAGAGTTGGAGCACACTGAAAGCTTAAACATCAACAATGGGGCAGGAGCTGTGGCTCAGGACTATACTTCCAGTGACTCTGGAGGCTGAGGCAGGAGAATCACAAATTTGAGGCCAGGCTTAGCAACTTAACAAGGAGACCATGTTTCAAAATACAAAATTAAAAAGGGCTGAGGATGTAGCTTAGAAGTAAGGTGCCCCTAGGTTCAATTCCTAATACCCTTCCCCCCAAAAAATAAGTATATTGACAATAAAATAGCAGGCATAAAATCTACATGTTAAAAAACCTGTACTTTGCAATCAGTCTATGGCACATGCTTGTAAGCCCTAGGGACTTTGGAGGCTGAGGCAGGAAGATCAAGTTCAAGGTTACCTGTGCAATTTAGGGAGGCTCTCTCAGAACAAAAAGTAAAAGGGCTAGGGATATATAGCTCAGTGGTAAAGTGCCCCAGGTTCAATCCCAATTATATAGTAACATATATATGTGTTAATATATATGTTAATACATATATAAAACATGTATGTATTAACAAAACCTGTATATCAATAATAGCAGACAAATATCACATATTAACTTATAAATAGTAACTTCTATTTAAAAGTAACTTTTAAAAAATATTTATTTTTTAGTTGTAGTTAGACACAATACCTTTTTTTAAAATTTATTTTTATGTGGTGCTGAGGACCAAACCCAGGGCGTCACATGTACTAGGTGAGTACTCTACCGCTGAACCACAACCCCAGCCCCAAAAGTAACATTTTTTTTTAGTTGTAGATGCACACAATATTTTTGTTTTTATTTTTTAAAGTTTTTTATGTGGTACTGTGGATCCAACCCAGTGATTCATGCATGTGAGGCAAGTACTCAACCACTGAGCTACAACCTCAGCCCTATAAAAGTAACTTTTTAAAATGTTCGGATAAAGCTGGGTACAATGGCACACTCCTGTAATCCCAGCAGCTTGAGAGGCTCAGGCAAGAGGATCTCGAATTCAAAGCCAGCCTCAGCAAAAGTGAGGTGTGACTCAGTGGTACAGCGCTCACTTAGCATGTGCAAAGCCCCGGATTCGATCCTCCGCACCACATAAAAACGAATAAGTAAAATAAAGATATTAAAAAAAAAAAGTGAGGTGCTAAGCAACTCAGTAAGACCCTGTCTCTAAATAAAATACGAAATAGGGCTGGGGGTGTGGCTCAGTGCCCCTGATTTCAATCCTATGTACCTCCCCCCCAAAAAAGTTCAAATAATTTATAGTTTTAAAAGAGTGCATAATATTTAAAATTAAATTAATATCTAAATTAGTAGTTTACAAAATGCCAGAATTCCTTAGGTCAATGTTTCTCATCTCGTTTTCATTATTACCACCTTAGCAGAAAAATTCCATTAACTTTGTTGTCTTAAGTTGGATTGGATATTTCCTAATGAGGGAAATTAAGTGCTAAGGGACACAATCTGGTCAGGTAGGGGCTAGCTCTGGAGGGCGATGAACCATTGCAATAACCATTCCTTTTTTCCCTCTGTGCCTCTTCATTTGTACACTAGGTGTCTCCAGCACATTGTTAGAAACCCTTTCTCATTAGCACAATGCTCACAGACTCAATAGTGCTGCCCTTATTGCTGAGGGTTGGAGTCAGCAGCCCTCCAGCTCACCCTTTCAGGTGTGCAGAGAGCAGCTCGCCCCCACCAGTGAATATAAGGAGACAGGGAGTCTGGGAGAGGGGAGACGGCAGAGCTGCTGACTGGGCCTAGAACCCGTCTTCTTGGCTTTGAACCCCAGCTCTGCCCTTGCTGTCTGTCACCTTGGGTGCGTTGTTGAGTCCCTCTGTGCTTAATTTCCTCACCCGTCCAGTGTAGTGGCAGTGGTGACCGCGTGACAGAGTGACTGTGAGCATTTGATGGGACAATGCCCACGCCCAGCTTTGGACAGGAACTGAGAGATGTGGGCCGTCAGTACTGGCCCTGATCAGATTGGGTCATTGCAAGGATGGCCTGTGCCAGTCTCTAGAAGACCCGCTTTAACTCAGACATGAGTTCTGTGATTCCTTTGTACGTGTGGACTCTCGTGAAGTGGTGAAGGCCGTTTCTTCTAATTGTTTGAACATTTTCGCTGTCACCTCGCCTGTGCCGTTATCTCTGCTGATGAAGAAAGGGTGCTGCACAGGGTAGGGGTTCGAAGAGCACCTAACCAACTTGTCAAAACTTCTGATTTAATGAAGTCCAAGTTGGAATTGATTGCTCATGAATTAAAAATAGTTCTGAGTCAAGAGGATCACAGGTTCAAGAACTTAGAACATGTCTCAAATAAAAAGTTTAAAAAGACAGGGCATGTAGCTCAGTGGTAGAGTGTCCCTGGCTTCATATTATAAAGCACATCTCACATCCAGTTTTATTGATGCATTATGTTACCTTTGGATTTTACAAAGGAAATTTATTTTAGAACTGTTGGCGGTGTTCAAAGTATTTTGGTCTTGGACCCCGCGTCATGTGGAACAGGGCTCTCGGTCATTTCTGTTACTCTGCCCGCTCTCCCTGCAGTCTTCCTTTTTCCATCAACATGGGTGTACCACCAACGACACCAATGCCAAGTACAACAGCCGCGCAGCCCAGCTCTACAGGGAGAGGGTCAAGTCTCTGGCCTCCCAGGCTACCCGGAAACACGGCACCGATGTGAGTAGGCGAGTGTCTCTCTTGGACGTAATGCTTTCCCGGCACAGTAGAGCTTTCCCCTGGAGCCTCTTATAAGAAGCAGTGTGCAGTGGCTCTCCTTATTCAAGGTAGTTATTTTCCATAAACTGGCAGTGAATATGGATCAGCGAGTCCTGAAGCCTCACTCCTGGCAGCTGTAGGTGAGGTTCTTCATCACCCAGCACATGGCCCTTATGGCACATGTGTTTTTGTCTGAGGGTAGCTCACTCAGGGACTGGGGGAGCCACTCAGAGGTAGCGCACTTGCCTAGCATGTGCAGGACCCTGGGTTTGCTCCCCAACACTGTAAGAATGAATGAATGAATGAATGAATGAAGCTTGTATAACATGTGGTAACTCATGAACACTGAACCAGCAGCCAGGGGCTGGACCTCATGCTCAGTGAACCTTACCTCACACATCATCTTCTCACGGAGACACACCACAGCCTTCAGAGCTTAGGGACACTTGACAGCCTTTAGCACTGTACTCAGGGGCCATTTTAAACAATGAAATTAGCAATAAAAAACCAAAAAATGTGAAAAGCGTGGTACTGGAGTGTCTGCCAAGAGGACCTTGTTTCCAGGCCGAGCACTGAGGCAGGGAAGCGGGCCTTGCCTTATCAGCCTTGGCTCGAATGTGCTTCTTCTGCTACTTGGTTTTTGCTGCTCTGTGTATGTCTGGAATGAACACAAAAATACTGTGAGCACTGATTTGGGATCACAAGTACTGTGAGTGAGTGGGTGCCTTCGCGGATATCGAATCCGGGAACACTGAGGGTTGGCTGTAGATGGAACCTCACTTCCATCTGAAGGCCTTGATCTGTCCTTAGAGCTGAGGCACTTGAGCCCCTCAAGTGTGGAAGTGAAGTGCCCACACTGGGGCCCTGGGCAGGCAGCTGGTGGGAGGTCTAGTCTGCAGGAGGCAGCTGTCCAAGGGGAGGGAGAGCCCTGCACACCGTGGGGTGCCGAGCTGAGGCTGCTTTGTTTCTATTCCAGCTGTGGCTTGACAGCTGTGTGGCTCCACCTTTGTCTCCTCCACCAAAGGAGGAAGATTTTTTTGCCTCTCACGTCTCTCCTGAGGTATGTATTGTGCTTCACATGAATTTAAACTGCTTTTCCTGAAAGTTATAAAAGATACATATTTACCAAGTTTCAATTAAGATACAGGCTAAGCTGCTGAGGTGTCAGGCTAAGCCCTGAGATGTTCATGACATGAATAAGACAGAAATCGACTTCCACTGGTCAGAGGCAGGCTGCCCGGGGTCTCCTGGTGGGGTCCCCTGCTGTCCTCCACATGTGGCTTCCCTTGGGGCGTCCAGTGTGCCTTTCCCAGCCTGTGGGCGGAGGACGGAGCTCAGTGCAGAGCAGTGTGGAGGCAGCTCACCTTGCTCAGGAACGCAGTTGCCCGTGTGTGCCAAGCTGCCCGCGAGGCTAGGACACACTGCTTGAATGTGCAGTCGACTCAGCTGTGCCCCTGGCAGATGAGGGTGGTTTCACTGGGGACTTGGGTCTTAGTGCCCAGTTTTGCCACGCAGCACAGCATATGCCTCAAGGGCATTGTGGGAAATGAATAAGTGAATCCAGGAAAAGGTTCTTGATACCTAGTGAGCTTTCTGTTGATGCCATGTTGCTGTTCTCTTGGAGGTCTGACAGCAGGCCACTTCTGGAGGTTTCCCCAGAGCCCTAGGCACCCGAGAAGCTTGATGCATTCACTTGACCTGCCCTCCCTCCCGCAGCTCCTGCTGGGGAGGGGGCACCAGCTGCTTACGTGCTCTTCAGTTCATGTTTAATTTCCAAGTTAAAATTACGTACAGTTGTGTAAGTTTCTGTTGTTCACTTTCTGTCACTGAAACAAATACCTGAGAGAATCAACTGATAAAGAGAAGACGCTCATCTGGGCTCACGGTTTGGAGGTCCTAGTCCACGCTCCATTGCCCTGCTCCTTTGGGCCTGTGCCAGGACATCATGGCAGAGAGTGTGTGGACGAGCAAGCTGCTCACCTGTGGCCAGGCTGGACTGAAGAGGAGAGAGAGAAGAGAAGGGGTCCCAAAGTCCCCTTCAAGAGCACACCTCCCCCCCTGTGATCCAAAGAGCTCATTGGCTCCGCCTCTTAAAGGCTCCACCACCTCCTCCTAGTCCATGGGCCAGGGCTAGCTCTGATGCACAGGCCTTGGGAAGCATTTAAGATGCAGGCCATAGTAGTGGCCAAACTTTGTGTTTTTTTCTGTTAAAATTTGCACACACATTATCACTGGTGTAGTCAGTGGTTACCAAAAAAGAGGGAAACAGAAAACAAAAGATAAGGTGGTGTCTTATGGTATGTTGCTTTTGTTTTATAAAGAACTAGGCATAGAATATCCATGATTAATAGATGAGAAGTGTTAGAAATGATGGGCTGAAAAGAGGAGAAATAGGGGCAATGTGTATGGATATTAGACTGGAATCTAATCCATATTGACCTCAGTGTGTGATCTGTGTATATAAAATATGTAAGTATGTCACACACATGCAGAGACAGAGAACTATAGATACCTGTGTGTACGGGGATCAGCACACACAGAGGTCACCTGGCAGTGTCCCAGAGAGGGCCTAGGGCAGCAGCAGCCTGAGACAAAAGCACACCTGGGGTCCAGATCTTGGTTTCTAAACACCACTGTCCCATAAAAGAGCCAGGTTACTTGTGGAGAAATGGCAGCTGAGGCTCTTGGGGCCAGAAGAGTCTGGAGCATCCTGTGTTGGAAATAGAAAGTCAGGGAGTGCTGTCCAGAGGACCATGACCAACCTGAAAGAGCCCCCACCCCCTGTGCTCAAAGCTGGAGCAAGTGGGACAAGAAAATAAACAAGGAAGGTGTTGAATTGTAATCCAAAGAACAAAATAAATATTTACAAGTCCATACTGTTTTAAATAAGTGATTGGGAAATAAGTAAATGGATAGGGGAGAAGGGACAGTCTCCTCATCGAATCCCAGGTCATGTATGTGAATATTGCCCCTTCAGGAATGTTGTTCAGCTGCCTTCCCCTCACGCACAGCCTGGGCTTGGGGAGTTACCTCCTGAGACTGGTGTAAGGAAAGGGAGAAAGTGACTTTATGATGGAGGAAGCTGGCAGACACTTAATAGTGTGTCAAGTCTAGTGTCACACTGTTGAGTGACATTGACGTGGTATAAGAGGAGCCCTTTTCCTCTGTGATGTCTTGCCCAGATCCAAGCCTAAGCAGGAGAGAACATCAGAGAAGCAAACCAAGGGACATTCCACAAAGTGCCTGACTAATGTCCTTCAAAAGTTTTAAGGTCATCAAAAACATGGAAAGACGAGAGAAATTGTCGCAAGCCAGAGGAACCCAAAAAAGTAGGACAGCTACTTTTACTGTGGCATCCTGGGCCAGAAGAGGCATTAGCTTAAAACATGGTGAAATTCAGATAACGCCTGAAGGTTAGCTGATCCAAGGGATGGTTTTATTTCCTGCTTTGACAGGTGTGTCACAGGAGGCTGAGTGGTGGGCACATGGAAACTTGGTGCACTAGCTTTGCAGCTTTCGTGCAGATCTGAAATGCCTCCGGAATACACGTGTTATTTTTAAAAAGGTGGGATGGTGAGCACTTGAGCCCTGCAGCAGAGGCTCAGGTGTGACTGTATTTTAGCGTTGTCCTCTCCACTGTGCAGGCCCTCGGAAGGCCGCTGTTCTGGTGTTGGGTTTTGCCCTGCACTGATTGCTTTCTTGTCACTCTTCTCCTTGCTTTGTTTGCTAATGACTTTCCTCACCTTGCTTCAGGTGAGCACCACAACACAGCCATCAGCACAGCCAGAACCAGCTCCCTTAGGACCACGGGCCACGGAAGCCACTCCAGAAAATAAGGAAGGTGGGGTCCTAGAGCTGTCACGTAATGCTGTTCTGTTTCTTTGGCATGTTGTCAAACTGTTAAAATTAAGGTGTGAAGCGGGCACAGTGACGCATGTCTGTAATCCCAGGAGCTCGGGAGGCTGAGGTAGGAGGATCACAAGTTCAAAATCAGCCTCAGCAATTTAGTAAGGCTCTAAGCAACTTCCTGAGACTCTGTCTCTACATAAAATACAAAACAAAAGCACTGGGGATGTGACTCAGTGGAAGCTCCCTAGGTTCAATCCCAGGTCCCCCGCCCTGCAAAAAAATTAAGATGTGAACCCTTCTGCGTTAGCAAAAGAGATTATGATAGATCATGGAGATTTCTGAATGTGCAATATGATCTCATTTTTTTAAAAAAAAAAAGCAAGAAAAACATACATACAGGAGACAATCTGGAAGGCATGTACCACATTGTTAACTAAAGAGTGAAATCCATAAGATTTTTTTGGTTTCTTGATACAGCATTGATGTGCCTCTTTTTTTTTTTTTTTTTTGGTGGTGGTACTGGTGATAAAACCCAGAACCTCACACATGCTAGTCCAATGCTTTACCACTGAGACACATTCCCTAGCCTCAAAGTGTCTGAACTTCTATAATGAGTACAAGCTACTTATATAATCAGAAAGCAAGATTTTAATTTTAAAACTATTCCCTAAATAATTGACACCTAATGACTTATATTTGGTGAGTTTATTGTGGGCTATTTATTGTAAATAAATATTAAAAATAACTTATGTGATATTAGGAGTCATCCCTTTCTCTTAAAATTGAGCATCTTTTGAGATTGAACCCAGGCTTGCTTAACCACTGAGCTACATGTACCCCAGCCCTTTGTGTTTTGTTTTTTGGTTTTTGGACGTTTTTTTGGTGCTGAGGATTGAATCCAGGGCCTTGTGGATGCAAGGTTCCTATCAACTGAGCTATGTCCCCATCCCCAAATTGAGCATCTTTTGTTAGCCAGAGTGTTAGGCCAGTTAACAACTAGAATGAACATTCTGACAGCTAGGCAGTGAGCTTTGGGACAAGGTATTGTAAGGTAGCCTGGAGCAGTGTGAGGAGAACAGAGTCACCAAGCCAGTGCTGAGTCACAGTGGGACGTCTGAGAGGGCCTCAAACCACAGGCTTCAGAGGGCCAGGGTTGGCTTCAGCAGTGTAGGAGACATGCCCAGGGGTCAGGAAGACGCCCTCCAGCTCTGGGCAACAGTGAACTGGTTAGTAAGAGGAATTGTAACACAAATCTACATTTTGGAAAAAAAAGAATTAAGAAAAGCATAATTCCTTCTTTACTTTTTATTTATTTATATATTTTTAGTTGTAGATGGGCACAGTACCTTTATTTTATTTTTTTTATCTGGTGCTGAGGATGGAACCTAGTGCCTCACACGTGCTAGGCAAGTGCTCTACCAATGAGCCCCAGCCCCTTCTTTCCTCTTGACACTAAACTAAAGTCTAGTGGATCAAGGATTTAAATGGAAACATGGTGGCCCTAGAAGAAAACACTGGAGAAGCTTCCGGTGACCTAGGAGCGGGAGCCCTTCTGTGCATATTCAAACCTCATAATAGGGAAAGATTAATAAATCTGGCTACATGCATATTTAACATTTCCATTCTGAAAAAGTAAAGACAAATGATAAATATTTGCAATTCTTATATAGGTAAAAGGCTGTTCCTCAAACTCTAACATGATTTTTTTTGCATGATTTGCAACCTGTAGGTTTTTTTTCCTCATATCCCTGGCCCCTTCTTAGGTTTTTGTTTGTTTTTGTTTTCTGGTCCTGAGGATTGAACCCAGCCTATCACTGAGCTCTAGCCCTGTTCCCCTCCTGCCCCGCTTCCCCCACCCCCGCTTTTATTTTTATTTTTTGAAACAAAGTCTCAGTGGCTGAGTCTGGCCTTGAACTTGGGATCCTCCTGCCTCAGTCTCCCAAGTGGCTGGGACTATGGGCCTGTGCTCTGCACCCTGCCCCTTCGGGGATTGCAGCAGAGCCTAAGCCTGCTAGGCAGGTGCACCACCCTGAGCTAGACCCCGCTTCCCGCATTCCTTGTGTGACTTCTAAGACTGCACAGAAGTGGTTTCCACACCTCTGTCTGCAGTTTGGCTTCTTGTTTCCTGCAAAACAAAACTACGGCCATGCCGGCCCTTCCTGTCTCTCCTGGGTGTGCTCTCTGTTTTACATAGGGTGCAGGACTGTTCCCTGATTGGCATGGGTTGGCTTTTTGTTGGCGTTTTGGCTCCAGGTCCACCACGGGCACTGCCGGCCCAGCTACGTACTTGTACTTTGTCTCCTCGTGGCACAGCATACCCTGTTCTGGAATAACTGTGTCCCTTAGTTTGCATGTCACTGTGTCTCCTCCCCTGCTTTTTTTTTAAGATGTGGGATCTATCTGAGCTGTCGATTGAGTCCCCTTATCCCTAAAGAGAGAAGAGAAAAACAATTCCAGCACTTTCCTAATGAATGAGGGAGGGTGGATCATGTATTTTCTGAAAGTACAAGTGATGATCTGACTGTTGTCACTATTACAATTTAGTGGCATAAAAGGCCCTTTGGGATTGAAGGTTACGGGCCGCAGGTATTGGGGGGCCTCTAGGGTCCAGAGTCTTGGTTCGTTTTTCTAACTGGAACCTCAGCAACCAAACTCAGATGAGGAACCGTTCTGTTACCTGCTCCCTGAACTGACAGCTCCCCCTGAAAGGCCTTTACTATGGGGAAGCACCTTCCTGTCCCCGTGGGAAGGTCACACAAGCTGCTGAGGATTGAGGAGACCTTTGATGGCACTTTACCTGGGATATCTTTGTCCCCACAGGTGGCAAGGGGCAGCCTCTTGAGTGACCTTAGTCAGTCAGTCAAGTGAGGAGAGAACAAAAGAGCTTCTTCACCCAGCGCCCTCCACCCCTTAGGTCCTTTAGTCCCCGCTGCCTCTCTGGTGTCAGAGCAGAGCCCCGCTCAGTAGGTCACACTCCCCCCAATGTGCCTGTTGAAACACCCATGTAACTAGAGCTTACGTTTTAGTTACAAAAGTGACAAGTAGAGTTTCCCCTGGTTCAGTGTTGGGACTGACATTTTAAAAATAGCTCTACTGACATATAATTCCAAACTTTAAAATTCACCCTTTTTAAAAAGTGTACATTCCTGTGGTTTTTAGTATATTCACAAGGTTGTGGCACAATTCGCCACTAAATGATTTCAGGATATTTCCAGCAGCCCACACTCCTTTCATGTCCCCCTTCCCTCCACTGGTAGCAGCCGCCGGGCTCGTCCCATCTCTGTGGCTTGGCCTGACCTGAACATCTCACACGTGTGGAATCGTACAACACGTGGCCTCCCATGACTGGCGGCTCATGCTTGTCACGGATGTTTTAGGGCTCACCTTGTTCCTGATTGTAGCCTAGTAATATTGTGTGCACATACTACATTTTCTTTGGCCATTTTTAAAGTAATAAGTAAAACCAAATTACAGTGAAAAATATATTTTAAATGAAGTCTTAACATAGCTCCCAACCAGGATCATTTTTTTAGGTAAATTAGAAAACAGTGTAAATTTATTGGCAACTGAAATTTGAACTTCTATCATCAATGAAGCTGGTGTTAAATTTTCCAATATATTGAGTATATATATATTAGGTAGCCCAGAGGCTGAGGCAGGAGGATCTCGAGTTCAAAGCAGCCTTATTAGAAAGCAAGGTGCTAAGCAACTCAGTGAGACCCTGTCTCTAAATAAAATATAAATAGGGCTGGGGTGTGGCTCAGTGGTTGAGTGCCCTGAGTTCAATCCCCAGTACCAAAAAAAAAAAAAAAAATACACTTCTTGAGTGGATTTTTTTTCCTAGTACTTAGGATTGAACTTGGGCTTGAGCATGGTAAGCCAGTGCTCTTCTACCCCTGTGCTACATCCCCAGTCTTTTTTTTGAGAGTGTCCTGCTAAGTTGGTGACACTGGCCTTGAATTTGTGGTCTTCCTGCCTCCTCCCAAGTTGTTGGGATCACAGGCAGACTTTTAAATCAAATTGCTTATGTGGTAGAGCACTTGCCTAGCACAAGTGAGGCCCTGGGTTCAACCCCCAGCAAACAAACAAAAATTCAGTTTAAATCAAAAAGTTTATACTCGAGGGAGGACACATGTAGAGAGAATGGTTACTGAGTATGGGGTACAGTTGGATAGATGGAATAATTTCTAATTCATATATAGTATAATAAAATGACTATGATTGACAATAATTAATTATATATTCAAAATAGTTAATAGGCTTTTAAATGTTCCCAGTACAAAGAAATGCTAAATGTTTGAAATGATAGATCTGATTACACATTGTAGACATGCATTGAAATGTCATACTATATCCTGTAAATGTGTATAATTATTGTGTAATTATGATAAGGTCTGATAATGTAGCTCAGTAGTGAAATACTTGCCTGGCATAGGTGAGGCCTGGCTTCCATCACCAGCTCCACCCCCCAAAATTATGATGATAAAATAGAATACGGAGCTACAGAGAAAGATGATATTTGACAAAATTGGATAAGATGTACGGTATTGAGCAAGTTAAATTATTATGCATGCAAAAGCGAGTTTGTTGAGCAAATTTCCTTTATTAATGTTAATGTTTTAAACTTTCAGGGGGACCAGAGCAAGGCCCGAGCGTGGAAGGTCTTAATGCCCCAGCGAAGGCTGCTGTAGGTAATGTGTTTACAACCCAAGACAGTCAGGTCTGTCTTTGCCTTCTGTATCATGTCTCGCTGTTGAGTGCTGACGCGTCATGACTTCCATCCCTCGCGAGCCAGCCTAGAGAACCCAAAGATGAGGGTGGCTGCAGGCGTGAGTGGGGTGGTGATGCATAGCATGAGCAGAGCTGAGCACCACACCATTCCGGTTCATTCAAGAACTCAGAATTCTCTTCCCTTTGATTCAAATTTTTTTTTTTTTTAGTTGTAGATGAACACAATATCTTTATTTTATTTATGTGGTGTTGAGGATCACGCATTTGAGGCAAGCACTCAACCACTGAGCTACAACCCCAGCCCCCCTTTGATTTTATAATAGATGAACTTACCACTGACTTTTCATTATTAAGGAATCATTTGAAATTGATGCATATTCACTGGACATAGCTGCTTTGGTGAAAACAAGTAAGCTGTGTAGAAATGTTCCTGACATTTTCATTAGAGTTTAAAAGCGGATTATGTGACAAAAGGCAGTATAAACCTAAACAAGAGTGATGGAATCCTGGCATGGTGACACACACCAGTAATCCCAGCAGCTCAAGGCTGAGGCAGGAGGATCACAAGTTTGAGGCCAGTCTCAGCAACTTAGCAAGATACTGTCTCAAAATAAAAAATCAGAAGGGCTGGGGATGTAGCTCAGTGGTTAAGTGCCCCAAGTTTGATCCCTAATACCTAAAAAGAAGAAGAAAATGGTAGAAAAGTTTTATTCATGGGTATCTTTTCTAATTATGTTCTCTTATTAGGACTAATGATCATCTTTTGCTGTTTGTGGTTTCTTGCTCTTTTTTCCATCATAGAATACTTTTTTCTGTGGTGCTGGGGATGGAACTCGGGATCTCACTCATGCTAGGCAATGCTCTATCACTGAGCTACACCCCAGCCTGCACATACTCATTTTTGTAGGAAGAAAATTTAAGATTTTTCTTTTGTTGGGTATCTTAAACATTATTATACAAATAAAACATATAATCTTTGATTGAAGTTTTCTCAATAAATGATTTTTAAATAAAATTTCTCTGTAAGGCTCAGTGGTACACACCTGTAGTTCCAGCTACTATAAAACACAAAACAAAACGAAAAATTTTTTTCTAAAAGCATATGTTTTATTTCACTTGATCTTAGCCAAAAGACCAAGAAGCAATGAAATTACTGCTAATGAAATAATAGACTGCTTGATACTTCTTAGTGGCTCATATGACAAAAATCTGTATAAGTTGATGTGAAAAAGCTCATTACTGACAGCTTTAGTTGTACACATAATGCTGGGCTAACTTTGTACTTTAAAATAATTTTCACTGGGGAGCAGATGGAGTTCAGTGGTAGAGAGCTTGCCTAGCACATGCAAGGCCCTGGGTTTGAGCCCCAGCATCACACACACAAAATTATCATCATAGCATAATTTTTAAAGTTTCTGAAGAGCAGAGCACAGTAGAGCTCGTTCTCACATACATTTTTAAATACTCCTAAGGAAAATGCTGAATGGGATGGTCCCAGGTTCGTTCTTTGTCTTCAGCGTGGGTGGCAGAATTCATGTTTTCTCTTGAGTTTGCACACTGCGTGGAGAGGCAGAGGACACTGTCTTACGCTCTGTCGATCTAAGTTAACTCATGTACATGAGTTTTCTGGATAACAAACTAAAGTGGGAAAATCTTATAGTCTTTAGTAATATACAGCCTCTTAAATTTCTTTTAACATACATGGTAAACAGAAAAATTGTGCTTGATTTCCATTGGTCTGAATTTTAAATTTTCCCTTTTTTTGGCAGAGGTTTCCTCTATCATAAAAAAGAAGCCAAACCAAGCTAAAAGAGGAGTGAGTATTATGTATAAGTACCTGGTAGTTTGTCTCTAAAGCTAAAGAATCTCTTTGTCCTGTGGTTTTATTTGCTTTTTACTTTGAGCAATAATGTGTTGAACATGGTTTTGACATTGCTTTTGTTCAATGAGATGAATGTTGTACTTAGTAAAGTTTTTAGAACGAATGTCTGATGTTCCTTCTGTCCCTGATACGACTAAAAACAATTAGCAGAGTCCTTCTAGGCCGAGTTCTCTCCTGCCTGTCCTGGGTTCAGTGCCGCCCTGTGAGGCAGAGGAGCAGCTGTCTGCAGAGCTGGCACAGTGCTGTGCTGGAGCGCCATCCTTGGCGGCCTGTGTCAGGGCTCGAACCCTGGCCTCACCACCTCCTGTGTGACCTTGGCCACGTTGCTGGACTCCCATGAGCGTCAGGGTCCTCTTCTGTAAGCCAGGGCAGTGATAATGCCAACCTCCCAGAGCTGTGGGGACTGGGAGGAGCACAAGCGTCAGTGCTTGTCTTGGTACCTAGCAGGTCCTAACCTCCATCAGCATCAACCACGGTTGCCAGTTTCCTCCCAACGGGTGGATATAATCTTCCATGTGTTCCAGCTTGGAGCCAAAAAAGGAAGCTTGGGGGCCCAGAAACTGGCAAATACGTGTTTTACTGAAATTGAAAAACAAGCACAAGCGGTGGACAAAATGAAGGAGCAGGAGGACCTGGCCAGGGCGGCGCCCAAGGAAGAGTCCATGTAAGTGAGATTTTGTAACAGTGGGACATTTGGGGGTGCAAACTTGGCTCCGACAACTCTGGGTCTGTCTTCCAGAGGCCACTTATCTCAGGGTGTGTGGAGGGCAAGCCAACTTGAGTTTTATGGAGGCTGTGAGGGCAGGACTGTTGGCATCAGCAAGAAGGGGACGGGGCACATCAAGAGGTGGTTGCACACAGCACAGGAAGCCTGACCACACACCTCCTTGCTCCTCCACCATCGTCTCGTTGGAGAATATAATATGAGCCATCAGGTACGGTGCTCAGAGATTTTAAAAAAGAGGTGTTATACGTGAAAGACACTCAGCCTCAGAGGTGCAAGGGAAATGCAGACCCAAGCTACATGAGGCCACTTGACATCCACCAGGGCAGCAGAATGAACAAGGCCAGGCCTGCAGCTCAGTGGTGGGTGTGCACAGCATGCATCAGGCCTGCTTCCATCCTCAGTAACCCCCAAAATTTTTTAAAGTTACCTTATGACCTAGTAATTCCGCTCCTGAGTGTACTTAAGAGAGATGGAAACACACATCCACGCAAAAATTTCTGTGTGAATGTTCACAGCAGCATTAATCTTACTGTCAAAAGCAGAAACAAGCCTTATCTCAACTGATTAATGAATAGAGAAGCCTGACCACAGGTGGTGTATCCACATAGTGGAGTTGAGTTCAGTCAAGAAAGGAGAGAACACTGACTCCTGCCACAGCATGGATGACCTTGAAAGTCTGTGCTGAGACGCAGACCAGTCACTAGGTCACCAACCACCACACACAGTGGTGACCTGGTCCACGTGAGATCCACGGTGAGGGAGGGCGGGGTGGGGGAAGCACCGAAAGGCCACTCAGACCCCTACTTTTATGCGTATTTATCTTTCTGGGGGTTTTCCTATTTCTGTGGGTGTTTTGTCTGCTTTAGCCTGAACGCCTATAGACTATTGAATGAAGAAAATACATAGACTTGTTTTTGAGGTTGTTTTAGGATTAGTTTAGTTAATGTTCACTGACGTGCGTCCAGCAACACCTGGCACACAGGAGGTGCTCAGCTGGTGTCGTCTCCCAGCGCTTTGCTAAGTGGGATTGCGGAGGCCAGCCCAGGTCATTTGCAGTGGGTGGTTGAACTCAGAACACAGGGGCAGCGCTGCCCCGTATTGGAGTGTTCCTGCCAGATCCACACACCCTGGACAGGCTTTCGTTTCCACATACAAAGCTAGGTTTCCGGCCCAGGGCAAAGGGGTGTGTTGCAGCTGGTGTTTGGGAGTCGCCTCTGTCTAGACTGTTGGTTCTTAAGGCTTCCCAGAGGGTGAAGGGTCGATGCCTGCTTGGAACAGAGATGGAATCTGGGAAGTGACCATGCCCTGCTGCAGGGAAGGCAGCCAAGAAGTGTGTTCCTACTAGAAGCCACCCCCAGCCTTCCCTGGCACCTGCCGTTGGGCTCTGTAAGGCATCGAGAGAGCAGAGGTGCCCAGAAGGGAGATTTTATGAATTTGCCTTGGGAACCCAGGTGGGCCACTCTCAGTTCTGTTGGGGACACTGCAGCACTGTGCCCAAATGCCTGCCACTGATGTCAGACCCGTCTCGCCTCGGTGTCACAAACCAGTGCTGTGCTGACCAGGAGCACGGGGCGTGTGTGTTGTCCTGAGCATCGAAAATGTTCTACTAGTTGGGCAATTTAAAAAATATATATTTGTAGTTGTAGCTGGACACAATATTTTATTTATTTATTTTTATGTGATGCTGAGGATTAAGCCCAGGGCCTTGCACGTGCTAGGCAGGCGCTCTACCGATGAGTGCCAGCCCTAGCCCCTGGGTAATTTTTAATGTCTGCAAATCAAGACTTCAGTTGGGTGAGCTGTTCCCTGGTGCAGCATCATTTCTTGCAGCGTCATACTGTGGAGCTGCGTGGCCTGAGAGCTATCCTAGTGCTGGCCTTCTGGCAGCCTCTAGTGGTCCTCAGAGGCCGTCTGTTGGGAGGGTTAAGAAGAGGTGGAGTGTGGCCTGGAGGCTCTGCGCCTCTGAGGATCGGGGATAGTCTGGCCTCCTGGTTCTGCCGGTGCTTCCAGAGCAGCCCTCCAGCCACTGTCCAGTGCGTGCTGTAGCAGGCGGCAGACCTCCTGTCATATCCCTCTTGACAGGTCTATTGTTTTTCTCCAAAAATTACACTTGAAAGAATAGTATTTATTTGCTAAGGAATAAAATAGACTTGACCTATTCTGTAGTAATAATATTACAGAGCAAAACCCTGCTTGATCATTAACAGCAGGAACAGCAAAGCAAACATGTTTTCCTTTCTTAGGCATTCTGTTGAGATCTGTTACTACACAGAATTTATTTTACTAGTGTTTTTGCCATGCCTCTCTTACAAGGAATTCCTGATTTTTCCTGATCTTATAAGATGATAACTTCAGAATCCCTCAAAGAGAGTGTCACCTGAGGTGCTGGCACTTTGTTGTTGTCTCACTGATGGGCTGGAACCCTGCAGTGACACCACAGAGGCCTGGTTTAGTTTTCTTATGAAAACTGAGGTTCTTATTGCAAGAACCTTCCTACTTCTTCAGACCTCTTGGGTGCATTATTTGTAACAGGTGTTTGGTTGATGGAGCAGTACCGATCAGTGGTGCTGGAGAGCATTGGCTGGTGAATGTCCCATTTTAAATGCTCAGATACCTGACTAATAGAGATCCCATGGGGGGTTCTTTTGTAAACGGAAGAATCCTTGTGTAACTAATTATCTCCCCCTTCATTTATTTACGAAGACAAAATTGTATATATTTTAATCTTAAATCACAGCAGATTAGTTTGACTAATTAGTGAGGCATCAGATTCTGATGTCCTTTGGGGGAGTGTGATAAAATATCAACCTGAGGAGGAAGTCTTGCCTTTTACTGTCCCATAGAGAAGTCATTAAGACTTGTGTTGTTATTACACAATAATAGGTCAGATGAGCTAAACTTGAAAAGCAAGGACCAAAAGCATCTGTAGAATGCATTCAAATGTCCTGAGCATCTATTCAGAAAAGACTAGTAGGAAAAAATTCCATTTTCTTCATAATCGCTAATTGTGGAAAGGAGTGTAAAGCTGAAGTATGAATCAATCATCATCTGATTTGGCCTGGTATATTATGTAAGAGCACAGGGTTGACCCTCAGCTCAGGAGCATTTGTTTTCTCTGGCAGTGTGTCATCTTTACGATTAGCCTATAAGGATCTTGAAATTCAAATGAAGAAGGATGAGAAGATGAACCTGAGTGGGAGACGGAAAGCCGACGCGGAGAGACTGGGCATGGGGCTTGGGAACTGCAGGAGGTAGGTGTGGTTCTGCTTCCTAATCAGGAATGGATCTTCCTGGGGCTGTGTGCATTTCAGCCTTGAAGGTGTCCTCTTGGTATTTCTGACCTTCTTTCATTGTGTTTGCTTTACTCCAGGACTCAGAATTGTATGAAAAATTGCAAACATGGTCCTTAGAAAAAGGAAAGGGGTCTGACTTGTCATTGAGCTAGCACCAGAGCCCATGCCACAAGCATCACCATGGGCGTGACTGTGTTTTGTGTAGTTGTAGAAAGATTTCCTTTTTTGTATTGAGGATTGGACCCAGGGGTGCTCTACCACTGAGCTAACATCTCCAGCCCTTTTTGTTTTTTATTTTGAGGCAGAATCTTATCAAGTTGCTGAAATTAGCCTCAAACTTTCCATCTTCCTACTCAGCACAGGGTTGCTGAGATTACAGGTGTGATTGGGCCCAGCGATCTCACAAAGATTTTATATATTTTTAAGTTTAACCAAAAAAAATTGTTTTGTCCCGTGTTTTTAATCCTCTTGATCAATTTGTCCCTGATTGGAATATAGCTTAAAGCATGCTTTTTTCCCTTAGTGAGATGCGGATCTCTATGAACTAACATGTAACTTTTCCCTGTTCTGTTCTGCTCTCTCAAGTGGCATTTCTCATTCAGTGACTTCAGATATGCAGACCATAGAGCAGGAGTCTCCTACCCTGGCAAAACCGAGAAAAAAGTACCATGAGGACAGCGAGGATTCTTACTTTACTTCCAGCTCAAGGTAAATCTAGTAAGAATCACCACCACTTTGAACAGTAGTGACGAGCACTCCGGTATTCATTGATTGGCAGTGGGAGTAGTACAAATCCATGTACTGCATTGTTTTCTAAAGCTCTGGCTGGTGTGCCAAGGCTGTGCTCTGGAATAAAAATTGGGAAAAAAA